GCCACCATGAGTTGTTTCAGGGTTCTCTCATCTTTTACTTTTTCCAGCCTTGGAATCAATGTCAACTACTTCTCCAGGGAACCTTTGTCCCTTTTACTGAATAGCGGTAGTTAGGAACTATTTTCCTAGTGCTAGGTAGACTCCTACTGGAGTGTCATCAGGTGTAGGCTAACTCAGCCGACAGAGTGTGGAAATATATGTACCTGTACTAGCTCATGTTTATATATACTTGTGTATTTATTTCTGTATTAATCTGTGATGGATGTATATACACATCACATATATGAATAATATCAAACATACACCCCCTCCAAAATAAAGCAAAAAACGAGTCCATACTGAAACGTCTGACTAGTCCACAGGGATTAACACCAGAGGATTCATTCCATCATTACCCTTTTGCTCCTTTGAAACATCTTTTTCCAGCTGAAAAAAAATTGGTTTATAGTATCTACAATATATTTACATATTTGCTCAAACTTCGTATATATGTAGTTTCAGAATTGCTAATATGTATTCCTGTGTGAAACAAACTTGTTTACTAGAATACACTGATTTTTGTACCATTCTCTTTGTCTTTACAATATCCAATCAAAACAGCTTTCCAAAGTAACTAAAAAAGGTCAGCTCCTTTACTTACCTGCTTAAATATGGTTTTATCAATTATTTAGAATACAATAAAATTTATTTTTTATACAGTCTCTATTCCATTCTGGATCCCCAGACATCATGTATTTTTGGCTTTAAATGTACAATAAAAATCACTCTGTAGGTACAGTTCTATGGACTTGGAAATGTATAGTCACATATCCATCACACAGAATATTTTCATCATCTTCCAATGTTTTTATCTGACGCCTCTTTGTAGTCAACCTATTCCTCCACCCCACCTCTCCACTACCACTAATCTAAATACCATCTCCACTGTTTTGCTTCTTCCATAATGTCATATAAATGAAATCATGCAATATGTAGCCTTTTTGAGTGACTTCTTTCACTTAACAAAATGCATTGAAGATTTATTCACATTGTGTCATGAATCAATAGTTTATTCTTTTTTATTGCTGAGGAGCGTTCTGTTATATAGATGTTATCCAGTTTATTTATTCATTCATTCACTGAAGGATGTTTGGATTATCTCCAAATTTTAGTGATTATAAAAAAATTGGCATAAACTGTTGTATACTGATTTGTGTCAGCATAAGTTTCCAATTAACTAGGGAAATTTCTTAAGAATTAAATTATTGACTCATTGGTAAGTGTTTTATTCATTTTTTTGCCAGTTTTTATTTTTGTCCAAAATACTTTTAATTTAGATAAACTGAATATGTATTTTATGGAATTCAGTACATCTGAAATTTTCATTTCTTCTTATAACAAACATTCATATCACAATTTAGATCATTTCAGTTAATGCAGAAAGTTTTTAAATTTTCACTTGTATTTAAATCACCTTTGCCATGTATATATACATACACAGAAACAAACACTATTCTTATATATTTTTCTCTATAAATTAGGTACCTGATCTTGAATTTTATCAGAAAAATGAAAATATGTAGCACATATTTGTATTTATTCAACATCATATTTTAAATATTAATTCATATTGTTAATTAATAAATCATTCCTTTTACTAATTTCCATAAAATGGATTCCTCAAAATTTGCTTATTCGTTCAGTTATTTATAAAAATTTTGTGATTATATTTTCTAGGTTTTATTGTTAGATGAATATAAATAAAATTCAGAATTCCAAATCTACGAAGAACTAAAACAGATTTACAAAAAAAAAAAAAAAAAAAAAACATTCAAAAGTGGGTGGAGCATATGAACAGACACTTTACAAAAGAAGACATATATGAGGCCAACAAACATATGAAAAAAATGCTCATCATCACTGGTTATTAGAGAAATGCAAATCAAAACCACATCGAGATATCATCTCAATGTGGTTAGAATGGCAATCATTAAAAAATCTGGAGACAGCAGATGCTGGAGAGGATGTGGAGAAATAGGAACACTTTTACACTGTTGGTGGGAGTACAAATTAGTGCAACCATTGTGGAAGACAGTGTGGCAATTCCTCAAGGACCTAGAAATAGAAATACCATTTGATCCAGCAATCCCATTTCTGGGTATATACCCAAAGAGTTATAAATTGTTCTATTATAAAGATACATGGACATGTATGTTCATAGCAGCACTGTTTATAATAGCAAAGACCTGGAACCAACCCAAATGTCTATCAACGATAGACTGCATAAAGAAAATGTGGCACATACACACCATGGAATACTATGCAGCCATAAAAAACAATAAGGTAATGTCCTTCACAGGGACATGGATGAATCTAGAAACCATTATTCTCAGCAAACTGACACAAGAACAGAAAACCATACACCACATGTTCTCACTCATAGACGGGTATTGAATAATTGGAACACATGGACACAGGGAGAGGAGCATCACACACTGTGGTTAGTTGGGGGTGCTAGGGGAGGGACATTGGGGGTGGGAGGGGAGGGATAACATGGGGAGAAATGCTAGATATAGGTGATGGAGGGATGAAGGCAGCAAACCACCTTGCCATGTATGTACCTATGCAACAATCATGCATGATATACACATGTACCCCAGAACCTAAAGTACAATAAAAAAAAGAATAATTATATATGTAATTTTGTAGATAAATAGTTTCACTTTTTTATGTTAAATTTGTGAAAGTGAAATGTATGGGTCATAGTGTATTTTAACTTTGCATCTTACAAGCAGTATTTTTAAGGCACTTCCAACATTTTACATAAACACTACTAGTGTATTAGAGTTCAGCTTTCTATATGTCGTGATATTGGTGTTGTCTTTTTATTTTGGCTATCTTGTGGTTATGACACAGTGTCTCATTGTAGTTTTAGTTTTCATTCTCCTGAGTAAATACTTTAGTTTTCATTTTCCTGATAAGTAAATACTTTGAACACCTTTTCATTTCTTTATGAAATACTTAAGTATCTGCTCAAGTGTTTGCTCAGTTTTAAATTGAAATATTTAGTTCTAAATATATTTTAGCAATAATTCTTTCTATATCTTCTATACAAGTTCTTCTTTGTTAAAGATATATATTGAGAATATATTTTTTCTCAGTTACTGGATTTCACTTCCATTTTCTTAATATACTATCTTTATAGACAGGGTATTTTTAAAATGGAAGTTCAATTTTAAATTATTTTTTTCTTTAAATATGTGAACATTTTGTCCTAAGAAAATTTTGCTGAGCCATCTTATGAATCCATTCTGCTAGCTAAATCTAAAGCCAAAAATCATCTAGAATATTTTTAGTTTTAATTTTTACGTTTAAATTTTAGCTTATTGATCTTGTATCCTGTTTTCTACTATATTAACTTACAATTCTATTAGCTTTATTGTATTATTAATTCTTTATGATGATAACGTTGTTTTTTGCAAACAGTCGAATTTCTTTTCAATTTTCACAATTTTTCTTTTTTTATCACATTTTTAAACAAAGTTCTCAAAGACCATGCTAGATTTGCCAATTTGCCTTTTCACAGGAGGAATATTTAAAATTTCACTATTAATTATGAGAAATTAATTTTATATTTCTGATTTGCCAAGAGGTTTTATCCAAAATGCATATATAGTTTTTGGCAAGTGTTTTTTTATTTCCTTCATTGATGTAGATGCTGTATTTTTTTCTCTAGCTTTTTAATGTGTTGATTTACATCAGATGATTTTCAAATGTTAAACCAACCTGTCATTCCTGGAATTAATTCTTCTGGTAGTGTTATATTAATATATTTTATGTATTCCTGGCTTCAATTTGCTGATATTTCCTAACAATTTTTCAATTTAAATCTATCAGTGATATTAATCTATAACTTTATCAGCAATGCTTTTAGAAGCTTTTGTAATCGAGATTAGATGCTTTAGGAAGCATTCACTTCTAATTAATCAATGGTTTTGCTTAAATATTTGAATTAATGATTTTGATTAAATATTTGAAATAATTTACTAAATGAACTTGGAATTTTTTTGTGAAAAGATTCTAAATTATGAATTTAAAAACACAATATAGGGGTATTCAAAACTTGTATTTTGTCTTTTGATAGCTTTGGCAACCTATGTTTTCCACAAAAATGATTCTTCTAAATTTCCAAGTATTATCAAAAACTTATTCATATTATTTATAGTTAAGAATTCATTCTATATTTTTTAATATTTATAGAATCTATAGCAATGATTATGTTTTAATTTCTGGTGCTGAAAATGTTAGTATCTTTTGCTTAATCAGTCTTGTTATTTGTCTATCAATTCTACTAATCCTTTTAAAAAAGGAACTCTGTCTTTTTTAAACTTCAATTCTATTTCATTGATTTTTGCTCTTCTTTTTTTTCTTCTAAAACCTTTAATTTGATTTTAAATTTTTTGTGATAATTTTCTGGCTTTTTTAATTTGCTCATCTAGCTTTTTAAGTTGATAATTAAGCTCACAGGTTTTATACCTTTCTTTCTTTATAATGTAAACATTTAAAACTATACTTTTCCTCTATGCAAATATTTAACTTTATCCCCTAATAATTTTGACATATTGTACTTCAATTATAATTCAACTGGAAGTAATTTCTATTTTTCTATTGTAACTTTTTTTTTTTTTAAATCAGTGGTTCTAGTTAGGAGAAAATATGCTTTATTTCCAAATATTTTGGGTAATAACTATGTATCTTTTTTAGATATCTAATTTAATTTTGTTGGGCTAATGGTACATACTATGTGTGATTTCCATAATTTGAAATGTATTGAGTTAACAGCTTGCCTGTATTATAGCTGCATGGCCAGCTCTAAGTATTAATTTAGTTGATTGTGTTGTTCAAATATGCAATATTACATTTTTGTCTACTTGCCTTATCAATTATTGAGAGGAGGAAGTTAAATTCTTCACTATTATTACAAATGTATACTTTTCCTTCTTTAGAGCTACCAATTTTGCTTTCATGAATGTTGATGATCTGTCTTTTTTTTTTTTTTTTTTTTGGAGATCTGTGTGCCTTTATTAGCAGAGCCACTACTTCAGCGGGAGGAGTGAGTGGCCCGATGCCCAGCTGGCCGTCCTTCACGGGCTTGTAAGTGATGGAGAACTCGCTCAGGTAGTGGCCAATCATCTCTGGCTTGATCTCCACCTGATTGAAAGTCTTGCTGTTGTAGACGCCCACCACGCTGCCCACCATCTCGGGTAGGATGACCGTGTCCCGCAGGTGCGTCTTCACCACTTCCGGCTTCTGTATGGGCGGAGTCTCCTTCTCGGCCTTGCGCAGGCGCTTCAGCAGCGAGGGCCGCTTCCACCGAAGGCCCCGGTTCAGCCGCCGCTGCTGGCGCGCACTGTGCAGCTGCATCAGCGCCTCGTAGGACGTGTTCAGCAGCCGGTCCTGGTCCACGCCGCGGTAGGTGAACTTGCGGAAGGTCCGCGTCTCTGCAGCTCTGCCTCTGCCGTCTTGCCAAATCCTCAGAAAAGACCGATGATCTGTCATTTAGTATATATTTAGAAAAATTAAATTGACCGTTTTATCTTTCTAAATTACCCTTCTTTCTCTCTGATAATACTACTTGCACTGCAGTTTGGTTTGTCTAATACTAAAATGGCCACATTAACTTTTCGAGTTTATATTTTGCATGCTATATCTTTTTCCATTATGTTATCTGAACTTTTCCATGACTTTGTATTTTAAAATGCATCTACTGGAAGCATTGCATATGCCTTTTAAAGCATTGTATATGACTTTTATTTTTAAGTCTTACAAATTATATCCTTTTTTAAAAGATGAAGTTTACATCATACAATTTAATTAGTCTTTAAAATCCAACTAACTTTACTACATGTTTCATAATTATTACCTCTGTTCTTTGTCTCTTTCTTCCTTTTCTGTCATTTCTTGTATTAATTGAACACTTTCAGTCTTTCATTTTATATAATTTGTTGGTGTTTTTTTTTCTATGCTCATAGTTTGCACTAGGAAAAATGAGTTGTTTAGCTGCAGGAATAGTGGTACTAAGATTAGTAGTACTCTGAATTTTATCCGGTTTTAATTATGTTTATAAAAAGCATATAGTTCCTCAACTAACAAGATGTTGATGTGACATTGACTGCTATTTTAAGTAAAATATATTTAATTAAGATTTTTTAAAAGCAAATGAAAAGAAAAACAGAACTTAAGCTCATCCAATCAGAAGGAGCCAACAGTCTTACAATTATATAACTAGAGACTTTTAAGTAAGGTGAAAACAAAACAACAAAAAAGGAAACTTTATAACTGCAATCAATCAAATAATTGTTAAATTTGGCTTCTTTTTCTCAATAAACACTTGCTCTGGAGGGGGGCAGGGATGGTAGTACTAAGCAATGTGAGAACATGAGATCTGTGTTTAGGTGTCTTTCATTAATTTTAGAAAGCTCACAGCCATTACTGCTTCAAATATTTCTTACATTTTATCTTTCTTTTTCTGTTTTTGTATCAGTTATGTCTGTATTGCAGTTTTAAAAATCGTTCTATTATTCTTGGATGTTATGTTCCAGTTTGTGTGCGTGTGTGTGTTTTACTTTAGGAACTTTTTACTGACATCATCAAATTCACTGATTCCTTGGTCATTTCCAGTCTATTATGCATCCATCAAAGACATTCTGATTTTTCTTACAATGCTTTTCATTTGTAGAATTTTCTTTCGATTCTTTCCTAAAATTTCCATTTCTTGACTCACATTACCCAACTGTTCTTTCTTATAGTAGTAAACTTTGTCTATGACAGCACTTAGCATATTAACCGTAGTTGATTTTAAGTTGCCTGTCTGATCACTTCAACATCTGTGTCAAATCTGAGTCAGGTTCTCATCTTTGTTTTATCTATTCAGCCTTCTTCCTCAGGACCTTAGGCCTGCCTTGTGGTTTTTGCTAGAAACCAGGTATGTTCATCAGATAACAGAAACAAAGTCTAATATTTATGTACCATGAGAATTTGTGTTAATTTAAGTAGAAGTTGGGCTTTGTTTCTTGGTCTCTGCAATTTACATGGCAGTGGCTTTACATTTTTCTGCTGTTCTTTTTTCCACTCCATGTGACTTTGGGCTTTCTTAATTGTTCCTTATTAGAGAGAGTCTAAATGTTCCAACTCTTTCAGCTGTTACCCTCCATTATTAAACACACGAGCTCTGGTGGTGTAATGTTAACATATGAGGGAGGAAGGCTTTTTATAACCTTAAAATTTATCTCGGTCTTTTAGTATGTTGTATTTCTGGCCTGAGACCTCGTGAGGTTTTTTTCTTGTGTATCTTTTCCCCCTTGTTATCTGATATAGGAATGCTGGTGGGGGCTAGCGTGGGAAGAATGACCTTTTATTAAGGCTCTAGAAAACTTTGATACAGTCTTCTTTGGGATAGCAGGCCTTTGTTAATGTCATGGTGTTAATTCACAGGGATTACTCCTTTTGCCCGCCTTCTAAGGTCATGAGGAGATCTTGCTTGCATCTTAACTTAAGATGAACTTAAATCTTATGAAAGTGAATGTTCCTCTGGAGGCTACAGCCCCTAGAATTTTCTCATGTTCAGTGTAGCCTACACTTCAGCCTCCAATTATTTATCAAAACTGACTATTCATAACGTTCCAGTAGCTTCTGCTCCATGTAAAGAGATCTTGACTATGACTTCCTGTTCACTTGTTTCTCCAGATTTCAGAATAGCAGTTTGTCCTGCTACCTCAATTATCTGATGAATATTAGAAACACTATTGATTTTTAGTTTGTTCAGCTATGATTGCTTCATGAGGTATGGAGTGATGTCTTCAAAGTCCTTTATAGTAATGGAACTGAAATTAAGAACTCTTGCCTTTAGTTTTTTTTTTTTTTTTTTTTAGTCACATTATTAATTATATCTCAAGTATATATTAAGCATAAATATCTTTTCTCCCTGGCATCCTGTCAAGAGATTTTTGAAGAGCAAGTTACAAACAGGTTGGTTGGTTTGTCTTACAAGGTGGTTTAGAAAGTCTTAATCTTTGAAAGAAACTTTCACTTCTCAGTCATTCATTGCCTCAGGGGTCTTCTTGGCCATCTTCGATCTTCCTGAGTTTGGTTTTCTCTGGTGCTAATTCTGCGGGTGCTCAAAATGCAAGATTTGTTTAGGCATGACTTCTTCTACCTAGATTTCAAAGGCTGTTGTTGATAGTCTCAGGATCCAGACAGAGACTTCTCACAGGAAAGGAGCCACTGTGGAAAGTCCCCACTAGGGCAATGTCTAGTAGATCCATGGAAGCAGGGCCACCCCGAAACAGCAGAAATGTAGAGTTCCCAGTGTGCAAAACCAATATGAGAACTGCAGGCAGAAGACACCAAACTGTGAGAGATGCAGTGTGGCCTGTGCTCAGCACACCCATAAGGGCAAGACTGTCAAAGGTTTGGGGCCCGAATTCTTATCCCACTAGAATGTAGGATACAGAGTCAAGATTATTTTCTAGCCTTAAGCCTTAATGTTGTTTTCCCCATTGGGCTTTAGACTTCTTAGGGACCCCTTTCTTCTTGTCTATTTCTCCCTTTAAGAATAGGAATGTCGCCGGGCGCGGTGGCTCAAAGCCTGTAATCCCAGCACTTTGGGAGGCTGAGGCAGGTGGATCACGAGGTCAAGAGATCGAGACCTATCCTGGTCAGCATGGTGAAACCCCGTCTCTACTAAAAATACTAAAAATTAGTTGGGCATGCTGGCACGTGCCTGTAATCCCAGCTACTCAGGAGGCTGAGGCAGGAGAATTGCCCGAACCCAGGAGGCAGAGGTTGCGGTGAGCCAAGATCGCGCCATTGCACTCCAGACTGGGCAACAAGAGCGAAACTCCATCTCAAAACAAACAAACAAACAAACAAACAAAAAAAAGAAAAACAAAAGAATAGGAATGTCTATTTTACGCCTGTCCCACCATTGTATATTGAAAGCACATATCTTGGTAATTTCCCAGGTTCATAGCTGAAGATAAATATATTTTAGGATTATTTATGACTTGAGTCTTACCTATATCTAGTTTAGATGTGACTCTGCGCTTTGGATTTGTATGTTGATGTTTGACTGAGTGAAGACTTGTGAGATTCTTCAAATGGAATGATTATATTTTGCATTGTGAGAAGAAGGTGAATTTTGGGAACAAAGGGCAATATGCTGTGGTTTGAAGGTATCCCCAAAGATTCCTGTGTTGGAAGCTTAATTTCCAATGCAACAGTATTGCAAGGTAGGGCTTAATAAGACATTATAAGGTTATGAGGTTTCTGCCTTCATGAAGGAGTTTGCCTTTATTGAGGGAATGAGTTAGTTATCACAGGAGTAGGTGTGTTGTAAAAGGGGTTTCAGCGCCCACTTACTCTCCTGCTCAACATGTCTTTGAAAGCTCTCTTGTCTTTGAAAGATTTCTGCTATGGACTGATGCAGAATGAAGGCCCTTGCCAGATTTTGGCACTTTGGTATTGGGCTTCCGAGCCTGCAGAACCGTGAGAAATACCTTCCTTTATTATTTTTTTAAGAGATAGAGTTTCACTCTGTCACCCAGACTGGAGTACAGGACCACAACATAGCTCACAGCAATCTCAAACTCCTGGGCTCAAGCTATCCTCCTACCTCAGCTTCCCAAGTAGCTGGGACTATAGACCTGAGTTACCATGCCTGGCTAATTAAAAAACATTTTTGGGGCATAGAGATGGGATCTTGCTATGGTGCCAAGACTTGTCTCAAACTCCTGTTCTCAAGTGATCACCCTGCCTTGATCCCCAGAGTGTTGGTATTACAGGTACGAGCCACCACACCTGCCCATAAATTTCTTTTCTTTATAAATGACCCAGTCTGTGGTATTTTGTTATGGAAACACAAAACAAAGATCATCATTGCCTTGGTTAATTAAGTCTATTCAAACTTCTCTATACACATCATTAATTTTTAAATACACAATTTCTGACTCCTGCTTTGAAGGTTGTTATCTTTAGACCCAAGACTTAATCCAAACCAGTGGTATAGTGTGGGTATAGTCAAACACTTCTACCTAGTATGAACCGAATTACTGGATTAAACATTACTTTTTCTGATGGCAATTTCTTCTTGTCCAGTAAATATAAGGTGTGATCTCTGTCTTATGTCTAATTGTTCTGAAATCAAGATTCTCCAACCAGAGTTTTTTTACCAGTATCTTAATCTATATCCCTAGAAAATTGTTCTGAAATGAAAACGACCTTTGTAATCTAAGAAGCACATCTTACTTTAAGACTTTCCCTCATTAATAAAATGTCCTTTCTTATCAAAAAAGTAGGATTTCAAGTTGAATTTAAATTTAAAAATCATGCAGTGTAACCTACATTTCACATTCAAATTTCTGTTACAATATCCCTAAAATGTAAACTGCTGGCTTCTAGTAATAGTAAAGGAAAATGTGCTACCTTCAGAAGCAGATAAAGCAGGGTATTTCCAAGGTAGAAGGTGCAAAGAACTGTGAATCTGAGATGTCCAGTTAATT